ATAATGAAGTTACTCGAAGGAAACCTTAATTTAGAATTTCTTATGCATATGTGCGTGTGTTTGAAAATTTAATTTTCTTTCGTTCATTCTCTTCTCTCTCATTGACTAGTTAAATCTGTGCAACCATAAAAACAATATTATTGTCAACGAGGAGACTTGATGGAAGAACTTCCGGCAACAAACCGGAAATGTAATTCTCATTGTTTCTGAGCTCATAAAAATGACTAACATTTCACAGCCATGCAAGAAGGAGGAGGTCTCCTATTTATTTCCATCTAAATTCCCCCCCGTCAGATTTCATTCCTTTTATTTATAATATATACATATTTATTAACCACGATTTAGGTGTGTGTGTGTGTGTGTCTGTGTCTGTGTCTGTTTGTGGTTTTGTGCGTGTGTGATAATGTTATATTCGGGGGTTGATAAAAATCATCTGTAGCCTGACGTTTTTATTGTATAATGTTCAATGAATTTCATAAAGATTTCTCTTTAATTTTTTTTTAATTCAAAGAAAAAACCCGGATGTAATTTTTCTATTTTTTTAGGAATCTTTGATCGTGCTCAGGAATTAGGTCGGGCCAGCAAAACTAGTAAATAAAGATTTCCAAATAAGTGTAGAGTTATGTCAATTTCTCTTAAAATAGAGGAAGCCTTTGTCATCGATTATCGATCGTCTGCCAAGGTTGCAAAAGAAACCAAAGTGTCGGATCTTGCTCGTTATATTGAACACAGCGTTTACATGTCCCTTGATTAGGTTTATCGATAGAATTACGTTAAACGTTCCCGCTTGAATTTCGCCGTTTGCCACCCCTTAGATAGATGGTGGTGTGGAGCAAAAATGAAGTAAACTGTACCGTGTGGCAAATGCTCGATAGGAGGAGGGTGGAGAACGGAACAGGCTGGGAGAAAAAAGCAATCGTGATGCTAGAGTGTGTTGGTGAATTTGGAGATATTGGAACTGCATTGTAAATTTTGAACAGATTGGTAAATTCAGATGAGAGGAGGAGAGTAGAACAATGGGCACACTTTTGAGATCGTTTAATATAAAACTTCAATAATATCAATAATGCTCCACGACGCACACTTGCAACAACCGCAGACAGCAGGGAAAAAAAAGTATTCGCGCATCATACACACTTCTCTTAAATATTTTTAAAGCTATAACAGGGGCTTCTAATTCTTTCTTTTTATATGCCGTATATTTCAAGACGTTAGAGATCATGGCTCTCCACTTCTCCCTATCTCTTGTAGCTCTCAAAAAGTTTCGTCCTCCGCCACCTTCCCTACACCACGTTCTTTTATCCACTTGCTTAATCCCGCCAGGTATGTCATATTTTGCTTTCCTTTGTCTCTATTTCCCTCTATCCGACCTTTATGTGCCGTGTCCCTTCAGGACGTAGGTAATCACGGCCCTCCCCTTCCTTCTATCTCAATAGCTCTCAATAAGTTTCATTTCTCCACTACCTCCCCCAGACCACGTTCTGTTATCCATTTGCATGCCAGATATGTCATACGTTGCTTTCCTTTGTCTCTCTTTCACTCTAATCTACCTGTGGGTATCAGATTCTCTAGGCCCTCCTAATACGCTTTATTAAATTTTAGTCTTCAAAATATAAAGGATGATATGTTGGTATATCTTTTTGTACAAATTGACTAATGTATAAAACAATGTTTCAATCACCTAGCATTCACATATATCTTATGCCCATGTCAAAGATAGGCGTAATGAGAGCTTTCATCTCCGTTGTCAGCTTAGAAATTAATATTCCTCACCTTCGATATCGTTGTTGTACACAAAGTCATCTGGTTCGTTCTCAAAAAGGATGTCATCTCCATTGTTTAGTAGTGTGTTCATGACACAGCATGTTTATGAAAGACAATGTCATGATGGTTTCATGGATACTCACTTAATATCCATAGATACAGAACCGAACACTCTTCTTTGATCGAAATACTGTGTAAAGTTTTTGATTAAAAACAAAATCTATATAAATTCGAATTCTTAATCAATACGAACCGTTTGGAGATTTACAGAAACATTTGGAGGGTCTAAGGGTGCCATCAAGAGAAAAGGTTAAACATGAGTTAGCCTTGTATTTTCCGTCAAAACCTAAAAAAATTTTAAAACATGGCATCTATAAACTTGTTTAAAGATAGAATGACGTTAAATGAATGGAGCTTACATTGATAATTAAATTCTTCTATAAGCATTAGTATCCTCTATACGCATTAGTATCTTCTATAAGCATTAGTATCTTCACTTGCAATATAAACAATAAAATCGGAGATAATTTTATTTTCAACCTGATAAATGTAGGTGAAAGGAATATATAGATACATAGAGTTGCATGGTATTGGACGCATATTGCAAAATTATATCAGATTCAATATATTTTCGCCTTAATAAATCATTTCCTCTTTTCACTTCCGTGAAAGTCTTTTATTTAAATTCTTAGATGTTTATTCGATGTATTTATGAGACATTTTGTAATCTATTTTGAGAATTTCTGCTTCAGGTTTAATGTTATTTTTTTTGTAGGTTGATTAAAATTCTTTAAAAAAAAAAAAAAAAAAAAAAAACAGGTGAGTTAACTTCTGTTTAGATAAATTATTTTCACTTGTATTCATTATGTTGCATTGATATAATGTGCCGAGTGTTATGAAGTTATTTTTTTTTCTTTTTGGCCAGGATTATACATAAGATTTTACCTACTCACAAAACAGCTAACGTAGTTCGGTATAATTAAAATCTATAACAATAAAAATACAAAACAAAAGCAATAAAACCTGAATAAGCTAGACGTGGCGATTTTAAATTAAACGCTGACCATCTCTGTATCATTACCGTTTAAATGAAAACTTTAAGCAGATCAAAATTTCTCCACATTTTAAATATATATCCGATTAATGTATAAACCGCAAGCAGTTCCTTTCTGAAAAGGAAACGCAAGACAAAATAGTTTTTTGTTTGCTATTTTCTTTTACAACCACCCATATATTTATATATACAGTGGGTGCTGCTCCTAATGCAATGCTCTTCAACTAGAATCGTGCTCTCCTAGCCACTGACGTCTTTCGGATGGTAATAACGTTAAAATGTCCCTTTCTCTCAGGGTGCGATGATAGCTTAGAATCTCTTAATGGTGCCAAATCGGTCGGGTTTTGATCCCGGCTCAAAGAATTCAGATGTGTAGCTACACTGATGAGCCGTGATACAGCGAAACAGCCTGTCTATGGATGACTATATATATATATATATATATATATATATATATAAGAACAATTCTAACCAACAATACAAAAACAAATGCAAAAGCGCTTTCAAATTCTAGAAGCCAACGCAATTAAAAACCAACATAAATTATATAACATAAACATCTGAAATCTATTTAATGACTAATACTCCACATAATAAATACAAACCGCCTCTCAATCGCTTATAAACTAATCCAACAACATGGCTTGAATTCCCAAAAACAAATAAATAAAAAGTAATCTACTTAAAACCGAAACATACACTCATGATGACGGTTCACGACACCTGAAAGCGTTCGGCAAAACACGAAAGACTGTTTTGTTTTCAACAACTTAGAGTCATATACTAGAAACTTCCGAGAAAGCAAGAAAATATTGAAAAAGATTATTAAACGAAAAATTTCTGTAGTCTTCAGTAATACATACCTTAATAATATATATATATATATATATATATATATATATATATATATATATATATATATATATATATATATACACCTTTGGGCTGTTTGTCTTGTTCGATAGCATTTGAAATGTTTAGTTTTAACTACATTAAAACGATCGCTTGGATTCTGTTTTGGCATATTAAGAGTCCGTTCCCAAACAAGTTTCCGTTTACATAATCAAAAACTTTGTTATTTGGTCAGTCATTGGAGAGTGGATTGTGTCATGTACATTTCAGCGATACCTCAGAACATGTGAGGCAAAGATAATTACATTCCTGGATGATTACAAAAGCACCTAGTATGAAATTGTCTGAAAAAAATGTAGAAGACAGTGGAAAATTTGTTACCGTTTAAATTATTTTTTGTGTACAATGTTTGTTCTCGGCGATCATGGCTCTCCACAATTTCCTATCATTTGTAACTGAGTAAGTTTTGTCTTTTCTCTATCTCTCCTAATCGCATTGCCAATTTTGCCATCCATTTGCCCAATCTTACTGGGTAGGATATTCGCTGTTCTCTTCTCTTTGCCTTGCCTTCAATACGTCCTGTGAGCATTAGATTCTCCAAGACTTCTTCAGATTAATTCTTTTGTTTCCAACGGAATTTTGTTAATGTCGAAATGTTGTTTTTTTATTCATTTTTACTTAAACCGAAGAATTTTTTTCGATTATTTATATAAGGATGGATTCATTACAGAAGTAATGCTTGGGAAACTAGCGAGTTATTTATGGATTTCCATGACGACTGCCTATCTATCTTTTTAAAAATTATTCTACCCAATGCAAGGCAATAAAGCCACTAAGACACAGGGAGGGGGCGGTTAATGTGAAAGAATATAAGAATAGGCAGAACATTAAAATAAAAAATAACAAGAACAATGAAGATAGAAGATATTGATTGTCACTGGAAAGTCAGAAAACCGAAGAGAGATCCACAACCAAGAAGTGTGAGAAAACAAAAACTAGTAGCATAAAAATTATGCTTAAGTTTCATCATTTCAACTGTAAAATGGTGAGACCTGACTGCCAATCTAGTACTGCGCTTAAATTCATAAAGTCTAGGTACTATAGAGGAAAGTTCCCAGAACAATTACCATGAAAATATTTATAAAAAAAAGCATAGTGACACTATATTTGAGCGGTGAGAAAGTGACTGAAGTCAAGATGCCACGTCAGGACTAACAACATTGCAGATTATTCGATGGATTACATTGAGAATCTGTAAATATATAGCAGGATCATCAAACTATATGTGACAGCAATACTCATGGACGAATGCTACACCTGCTGATGTAAGGCAGAATGGGTTCTCTCTCCGTTTCTTTCTTTCTCTCTCTCTCTCTCTCTCTCTATCTATCTATCTATCTATCTATCTATATCCATCTACATATCTGTCTATATCCACCTCATATCTATCTATCTATTATCCTCTATCTATCTATCTATCTATCTATCTATCTATCTATCTATCTATCTCAGCCTGTTCATTATCTATCTATCTATCTATCTATCTATCTATCTATCTATCTATCTATCTAATCCATTTTAATCTTATTTAATTTCAACTTACCTACATATTACCTATCGACGTTATATACGTGTGCGTATGTATGTATATGGGTATTGTTCGCTCTATATAAATATGCATAGTTACTGCACATACACGCTTTGAGTATAGATGTATAAACCAAGTAACAAATATATATATATTTATTGTGGCATCGATCGATTGGCTAATAGAATGATTGAAAATAACGAGTGGAAAAGATCGAATTAAGTGAATTACTGAAAAATTATTTTAATCTATTAATCGATTGATCGATAGATTTACTCTTTTGATTGGCAATTACTTATTAGTCAAATAGTCTATATGTATCGACCCGTTGTCTAAGAAATCAAGAATCGGGTACAATCGAAGAAAAACTAAAATTTATTTTATGGCAGAGATTGTCACGAAACAAATGGGGAAAAATAAAAACAATTTCTCTGTTATAGTGTGTAGTGCATTACACATTCTTGTGTTGGTCATAAAAATACAGTGAAGACAGAAATTGTTATTTATGGCCTTTGGAAGACAACACACGGGCTTTATAGCAAGTATACTGACCTAGAAAATGTAAAAGAAAAAAATCGCCAAAAGGCGTCTAGTTTCATAGAGGTTTAACTTTTAAAATGTAGTGCGAAACTTTGAACGCTTCAAATTCTTCTTCAAGAATGAACAGGTAGTAGCTTCAGTTCGTGTCAATAACTCCAGATATTCACTGAGTTTTGCTGCATCTAGCTTAAGGCTACGTGTGGTGGAGTAAAGTATCGAAATTCTGTGCCATGTTACTTCGAGAAACGTTTTCTAATTCTTGCCCTACAGCGGACGCTTCACACATTTTTAGAGTCGATTTCTTTCTGTGTATTGACTGGGGATATTTTATAACGCTAGTCGTGTTTGGTATAAGGTCAAAATATTTATACATTTAGAGACAAAATATTACTTGGATTGGTCAGGTGAATCTCACTTAATACTCGTCACTCTGTTAGAGCCACGCACACACACACACACACACACACACACACACACACACACACACACACACACATATATATATATATATATATATATATATATATATATATATATATATATACTAGCAGCATGGCCCGGCGTTGCCCGTGCTTGATTCAAAAAATCGTACGACACATACAGCAATCACTATCACTTGACTTAAAATATTTTTGCCCTTCCTTGCCTTTAAAAGAGTGCCCTTTGCCATGCTGATGTTGCTACATGCCTTACTTCTTGCCTATCTCATACTGCGAATTTTTTCTAAGCTCTATACTAGACATTAAGTCTGTTACGAAAAAAGAACTAAACAAAATGAACACAAAACGATCAGCTTTAAAAAAGGACTCGTAACTGGAAAAACCAAATGAAAAAAGAATGTTAACAACAAATACTTTTTCACACCTAAACCAATTCTGCGGAATCAGAATCAACGTTGAGTTTAAGCAAGCGAATGAGCCAATTGGAGTAAAGTGCCATGCAGATTTAAATTTTTCACACTTGTGACGAATGCAGCTATCGATTTTTTTTGCATGCTAGTATACTAGTTAACATTCATGTCAGTCAGCAGTTGCCTCTCACGCTGGCCAATAGAATCTTCCTGCCTATTCGTGGCAGCCAGCTATAGGCTCTCACTCTGGCCAGTAGAAAATGGCCGCAAACTAAATGAAAACTGCCGTAGAAGCATGAAAAAATCGATTATTTCCACTATCGATGGGAGTTGGGAAATGCAAAGTCGGTCTTGGCCTTTCCACTAACTTGGAGCATGTATATTTTGTTGCGTATATGGGTGTTTTTGCGGTAGTGGGAGAAAAAATGTCGGAACGCTATTTACACGTACGCAGATATAGATACACACGCGTTCACATAAACATATATAAATAGTGTGGAACTGGGCGAATAACTAAATATGTTAGCTCTATCACTGATATTGAACGCTTTCCAATAAGTATCGCACATATAAGTAATATATATATACATATAAAATTGCATGCACACACACACACACACACACACACACACACATATATGTGTGTGTGTGTGTGTGTGTGTGTGTGTGTGTGTGTGTGTGTGTGTGTGTGTGTAGGCGCTCCGTTTTTTTATTAGATAGTATATTTATTCATTCACCTACCAATCTGAATATTCGAGAAATCTTATTAAAGGCAAACATGTGCCCTTCGGAAGGAATCAGACCTTCGTCCCGTTTAGCTCGGCGCATCTTACCCGCTTGGCCACGAAGGAACAGACGGCCAGGCGAAGTCAATTTCATGCCTGTGTGCAAAAATAAAATATAGTACCTTGAAACGCGAAAAGCATTCCTAGACTTCAATATGTTCTGTAACTGTTAAATTTTCCAAGCCCTCTTTTCTCATCATCTGCCAAAAATATATCTGGTGCTACGAATAAGTATTCTTTCGTCCTTGTATATAAAAACTTTTCGGCGTTTACAGTCCATGGCATTCTCAACATCCTTCTGTATGACTAAATTTCTGTTGACTCCTGTTTTTCATCTGTTCTGAGATTGTCCATGATTCGCTTCTATATAGGAGTACCGATATTACATAAAAGTTCAGTACTCTTTTCTTTGTTGTTAAAGAAATATTTCTGTTTCATAATACTTCCCTTAGCTTTTAGAAGCCACCTTTCGTTATCCCAATGACAAACAGGGTTTTGTATTTTCCGTTTTCAGAACACATGCTAGATATTCAAAGTTTGTTTAATTTTGATAGATCCAATTTGTAATTCGCATGCTTGACTGTTTCTTTTGCTAACAAACATACATTAAGTCTTCTGACAGTTGATTTTTTCGTCATTTCTTCTCTCTTTTCATTTTCTGTAGAAATTATTGTAGTTGCCTTTCTCTGTCTGCTATCAAAACGGTATCATTTGAATAGCTTATGTCGTTAAGATTGTAGTCGCCAACAAAGAATCTTGTTCAACTTCTAACTCTTTCAGGATTACCTCATTGTAAAGTTTGAATAAATCCGGTGAGATGACGCGTCCTTGTCATACGTCCATTTCTGTGTTTGTTTGTTTTTTAATTTACTGAATTCATTTAAAAAGCTTTAACTGAATTAAGGTTTGTCTGTCGTAAGAAGACAATTTATGAATTATCGCATCAACTGATTGTACTGAAGTCTACTACACATTCTGAATCATTAAAAGAAAAATAGAATGCTTTTTACGTCATTTACTATTGACAAATTATCTATCTATCTATCTATCTATCTATCTATCTATCTATCTATCTATCTATCTAATGCTAATTTCATCTATTTATCTACCGCGATAGTTAGATGCAAATGCTTGCTGCATCAGACATGTTCAGGCATCTTGTGTTTTCTTTTGCCTCTTTCTGATGATAAAATTGTTTTGCTAAAAGAGACAAACATCAAGGAAACTTAGCGGAAATGAATAATTCCTTCCAAGAGGAAATGAAGAAAAATAATTTGAACGCTTTCAGACGTCGCTATACGACCATGCAGTTGTAATCACTGTATTTCAGCATGTTTGTTCCCCACTGCATACACCTAGAGCTATATCTAGCATTTGGTTTACTCAATTTAATATCATGATTGTCGCAATCGTTATAGTATCCTACAGTAGATGTTTGGAGACAGATTGACAACATGCGAGCCCAAATCCACAACACCTTCTTCAAAATAATATGATAATTTATCGAAATTCACGAAAGTGTATATTTATTTTCTGATGAACTTTCCTCTTTGATACATCGATTTTACGAATTTAATCGCAGTACTAAATTGTCTCATTGTACTAAAAGTCTCATTGTTTTATACTAACAGTTAATTCTCTCACATTTCTCAATTGGTGAAGTCTCATCTTGATTTCTAATCAACTTTTATCTTCAAAAATTTCAAAGTAATGTGCATCGCCATCTTTGTCTTTCTGAATCCTCTTCTCTTATTGGCCTCTTTCCTTAATAATTTTTTTTCTTGGATTTTTCACACTCAGTAACACTTTGCTTCTTAGTAGGCTTTGATTAAAAATTATCTTATATCAGATTGTAGTTTTTATATAGAGAATTATTTTTTACATTATTTTTATTATTGTTGTTAATGTATAAATAAACAATCAAGTCGTTGTTGCTTTTTTTCATTATGGATATTATATCTACTAGAATAAAAATACATTAATGATGGTATTGTTATTAATTTAGCTGGTATCAGATTCCACAAGAGAAATAGATACAAGGAGGTACAATACTTCTTTGGGGCGCCGAGGTCGGCATAAATTTTTCTCAAAATTGAGGATTTGATGTCTAGTAAATCTATGCGTAAACTCCAATAAATTCTTTCTTTCTAAGTAGGGATTCAGCACACCTGATGTAAGATTCAATAATATATCTGTCGATATTGTCGGATCTTTACTTTTTTTTCTCATGGATACACATATATCCTGACTAGATATTTTACTCACTATCCTGCCACAACAGCAATCAAAGATATTTCAGCAGGGCCTCCAAGAGAAATTTTGCAAGGCGGTACAAAACCCATTTGAGGCTTCGAAGCAGGTAAAGATTTTTCTCAAAATTGAAGATTTGATGTCCAGTAAATCTATGTGTAAACTCTCATAAACGCTTTATTTCTATGATCAGATATAATATAATGTAACAAACATTCAATTAATGCAGCAACATTAACCAATATTTACGGTAACATTCACCAATTGCCTTTTAGGTTCTGTAATAGAGAAATGATTTTTCAACATTTATGAAAATAAGATCTTGAGCTCAAATTACAAATTACAATGCATAAAGTCCTTGCGAAACAAAATAATCATACATACAGACAGATGATGGTGCGAAAATTCTGGCGTGGGCTAGTCTCATCATGACGCTAATTGACACATCTGTGCATCTACCCCTGGCTGTTGGTAGATACTCTTGGGGTTATCATATATTTACACAATTGGGTTTATAATATTTACTAATAAATACCAATAAAAAGAAGTAAGTGTGGTGTGATAACTAG